GGAAGGAAGAAGGGAAGGAAAGCAAGAAGGAAGGGAAGGAGAGGAAAAGAAAGGAAGAAGGGAAAGGAAAAGAAAGGAAAGGAAAGGAAGGAAGGAAAGGAAGAAGGAAAGGAAAAGAAGGGAAGGGAAGGAAGTAGGGAAGGAAAGAAGAGGAAAGGGAAGAAGGGAAAGGAAGGAAGGGAAGGAAGGAAAGGAAGAAGGAAAGGAAAAGAAGGGAAGGAAAGGAGAGGAAAGGGAAGAAGGGAAAGGAAGGGAAGGAAGAAGGAAAGAAAAAGAAGAAGGAAAGGAAAAAACGGAAAGGAAAATGTAGGGAGGAGAGGAGGAGGAGGAGGAGGAGGAGAATAGGGCAGAACAGAACAGAATGCTGGCTGGGGAATTCTGGGAGTTGAAGTCCACGCATCTTGAAGTGGCCCAAGGTTTAGATCTTCTGCCTGCCCACATTCTGTCTTTGGTCCCCCTACGGTTAGGAATGACGGCGTTTGGCAGGCTTCTCTTTTCACCCACTGTACTCGCCCCCCCAAGGGACGAGGAGCGTTTCCCTCCCCAACTGGTGTGGCGGCTGCGGGTTCAAGAGGATGCTCACCAGGGCGCCTTCCAGGCAGGTCGCGTAGTGATACCCCCTCCCCATAATGAGGACGGACTTCTGTTGGTAGAGCTCAGTGGCCAGCTTCTGGATCTCGTCGTCCATGCTCAGCACTTCCTTGATCGAGCCTATCGAACGCAAGGAGAGGCGGCAAGGCTTCCAACTCAGCCCGGCGGAGGAGAGTTCGGAGGCCTCGGGTAAGCCGGCTGGAAGGGACCCCATCTTTCTGCGTTTATTTATTTATTTAAAATGCAGGTGGCATCTCGCGCGGTTGGGACTCTGGGTGGCTCCCAAGTGAGAAGGGAGACTCGAGAGGAATAAAATCGGAACATTCAAAATGGACACTGTTGGCCCCGGTGGTGCTTACCTGGCAACAACTTGAGGCCTCGCATGATTTCTTTCCGCCGTTCTTGCATAGAAATTCTGTCGTCGCACATCATGAGCGCAAACATTACGAGGGAGACAAACTGGCTCGTGTAGGCCTAGAGAAGAGGGGAGACAAAAGGCACCCCGTCAAAGCCAAGGCCATGAATCCCTCGAGGCCGATGCAGGACACGCTTAAAGGGGAAGCGCCTGAGAGGGGCAGCCGTCTGCTCCACCTCTCCGTCATCGGGAACGGAGCGACCGTATTGGGAAGATTTTTTTATAGAAACGGCTGTTCATATTATTTTGAAAAAACCAAAAAGTTGTGATTTGATGTTAATGCCTTATCCCTCACACCCCGGACATAAATTGTTTCAACTCCTAACCTCAGAACGACGCTATAGAGCCCTGCACACCAGAACAACTAGACACAAGGAGGGTTTTTCCCCCGAATGCCATCCCTCTGCTAAAAAAACAATTCCCTCAACACTGTCCAACTATTTACAAAGTCTGCACTATATGTTACTATTAAACTTCTCATCCCTCCTTATGGCCCATCCCCTCCCACTTGTGACTGTATGACTGTAACTTTGTCGCTTGTATCCTTACGATTTATATCGACTGTTTCCTGGTACGATTTGACTGCTTATTGTACCCTACGACTATTGTTAAGTGTTGTACCTGATGATTCTTGACTCTTGACAAATGTATCTTTTCTTTTATGTGTACACTGACAGCATTTGCACCAAGGGAAATTCCTTGTGTGTCCAATCACACTTGGCCAATAAAAGAATTGAATTCTATTCTATTCTATTCTATTCTATTCTATTCTATTCTATTCTATTCTATTCTATTCTAGCTCCTATCCTGGCTCCTATCCTGGCTCCTATCCTATCCTATCCTATCCTATCCTAATCCTAATCCTAATCCTATCTTATCCTATCCTATCCTATCCTAATCCTATCCTAATCCTATCCTATCCTTACCTGTCCTGCCTTTTCGGACTATACATAAAACGGAGGCTTTTCCAGAATGCAAGCAGAGGTTAATTCCTGGGACCGCAACTCCCGGCCTTAAGGAAAGCAGGAGGGCCCAGGTGCAGCCAGCAGGGGCACTCCAGAGTGAAGACCTGATAAGCTGCCACACCTTCACACCAACCTGCGCCTCTGAGCTCCTCACCTTTGTGCTGGCCACCCCGATCTCTGGCCCTGCGTTGATATGCACCCCACAGTCCGTCTCCCGTGAAATGGAGCTCCCGACGGTGTTGGTGATGCCCACCGTGAGGGCTCCCCTTTCCTTGCAGTACCGAAGGGCCATCAAGGTGTCGGCCGTCTCCCCTGCCGAGAGAGAGACGGACCTGGTCAGTCAAGAAGGCGCACTTACCTGGAGATCTGTCAGAGCAGGGGCCTTATTCCTACCTTCCTTATGAACATGGGACACAGCTCAGACACAGACAAATTAAGCACGGCTCTCCAAAGCCACAGGGTCTCACCCTGCGAATGAACCTGGACTTGTCTCTTTCCTTCAATAGTTGGGAAGAAATGCCCAGGGACATTTCTCTGGCACGTTGGGATGACCCAAAGGGGCGTGGCACAAAGTCAACACAGCCAGATAATAAGTAGGAATCCCTTTATTAGCTCCAAACTTTGCCTCCAAGGTCCTGGCTATTAATCCGGCAGGGCAAGGTAAGGAGCTCCAGAAGGGGAATAACACGGCAGTAAATCAACCCAGTTGGGAGGATGCCAGGAATACAGATAACCGCAGTCAACACAAGATAAACTGACGTTTGTTCCCGGCAAACGCAGCTCTCTGCTGCCTCTCCTTTAAACTCTTTTCCCAGGGAAAAGAGAATCAGGGCCCTTTCCTCCCCTGTAAGTCATGTTGCTCCCTTCTCCGTTCTTCCCTGCTTATTCTAGGATGAAGAGGGGGTGGGCCTGGGTCTTCCTCTGAACTCCCTCTCCCTTGTTCTACCTCTTCCCTGCTCTGGTCTACAAGGTAGGAGAGTTGCTAAAACACCGGGCAAACTTTGCATTCTTTTGTCAGCTGATCCCAGAGGCCTCCCTTGGCCATCCCACCTGACTGGCTGATGAAGAAGCAGACATCATCGCGGAAGACGGGAGTATTTCTGTCCAAGAAGTCACTGGCCAGCTCCACCATGACGGGCAGCTCCGTCAGTTCTTCCAGTACTTGGCGAGTCTGGGCGAGTGATGCAGGGAGGGGGAGAAAGAGGGAGGGAGAGGAAGGAACAGAGCGTAAAACGAAAGTAGCAACAGCACTTCAACTCATATACTGCTTCACAGCGCTTTTCAGCCCTCTCTAAGGGGTTTACGGAGCCAGCCTCTTGCCCCCAACAATCTGGGTCCTCGTTTTACCCACCTCGGAAGGATAGAAGGCTGAGTCAACCTTTGGCTGGTCAAACTGCTGAACTGCTGGCAGTCAGCAGAAGTAGCCTGCAATATTGCACTCTAACCACTGCACCACTCAAAAGCATCACTCAAAAGCTGCAGGCCCATTTCAGTACACGTTTATGTTGAGTATCATTTATTCCACCCACAGGCTGGTAAATTAACGATCTCACAGAAGCTCTGTGATGACCCAAAGGGGCGTGGCACAAAGGCAACACAGTCAGGTGATCAGTAGGAGTCGCTTTATTAGCTCCAACTTTGCCTCCAATGTCCTGGTTACCTTCTGGGCTCGAGAAAAACTCTCCCAGGAACAGCCTTTGGCTGCAGAGAATCAAGTCCAAAATGTGGTCAACAAAAACTATAAGTCCAATCAAGGCAAGATGAGATAATTAGTCCAGCAGGGCAAGAGAAGGAATTCCAGACCTGAAGGAATGGCAGTTAATTCCAGTTGGGAGAATGCTAGGAATTTACAGATAACCAAAGTCAACACAAGATAAGCTCGTGTTTGTTCCCAGCAATTTGCCTCATGCAGCCTGCCTTTCTTATCAACTGTCTTCCCAGCTGTGGCTAAAGGGAATCAGGGCCTTTTCCTCCCCCGTGAGCCACGCAACCCACGTTGCTCCCTTCTCCGTTCCTCCCTGCATGCCCTAGGATGAAAAGGGTCTGGGCCTGGATCTTCTTCTGAACTCCCTCTCTCTTCTTCTACCTCTCTCCTGCTCTGCCCAGCTGGACTTTGCCCTTCCCCAGTTTCCTCCACAGCCAACAGATCCACACTCACTCCCTGTGTCAGCTGTTCGTCTACCTCCTCGGATTCAGACTCCGACAGGGGCAGGACTAGCTCTTCCTGTATCAATAATTCCAGGAGTCCAACTGTTCAAAGCCTCCAAATTAGACGCCTGGCACGAGTGAAACACCAGCACTAGCGATGGACGTAAAAAGGACCCAAGGCTTCAGCTACATGGTTGTGTCGTTTTGATTTTTTGCACACACACACACACACATAGAGTGCACCATCGAGAAAAAGCTGCAAGTCCCAAGAGCAGGACCGACATTTCCCTGCTGCAGGGCCTTGCTGAACTTTCGAACACTTTGCAACGCTACTTTGAGTTCAGCTACTCACAGCGACGCCTGCGTGGTAGCTTGTCCCACAAGCGATTAGGATCAAACGCCGGCATCGCTGGATCTCCTTGATATGGTCTTTCAAGCCCCCGAGGTTCACTGCGGCAAAGAACAAGGCAAAAGTCTTGGTGAAAACGGCCCACAGAAAAGCAGAACGGCTCCAGGGCAAAAGGATCCCGCAGGATTTCTTTAGCAACTCTTACGAAAGGAGGCTCAGTGGCGCTCCACCCCTCGCCCCAAAGAGAACTCCACGGCCTGTCAAAGCAACCTCCAGGGAGCAAAATAACCAGAGGTTTTGATCGTGGGACAAGCTGGCCCATAGCAAGTTTGTTAGCCGAGATCCACCGCAGTGGAAGAAGAGAAACTGAGTTTACTGTCATCGTCCAGTGTTAGAAGAGCACCTACGGATCTCCCCTGTGAATGAAACCTATCCACTTAAACCACATTTGGAGAGACAAGAGTTTTGTGTTTTAAAAAGTCTTGATTTTCTTTAGCAGAAGACAATTCTGAAGCCTTTACCTGTGTAGTCATCGAAGTTGACTCTCCCTCTCATGGTGTTCACGACAGATTCTGGCTGCTCAAATATTTCCTTCTGCATGAACGAACTGAAGTTGCCTTGGAAAAACAAAAGGAAGTTCAATGAATAGAGGCAACCTTGACCTTCTCATTTTGGACAAGGAGACCGTCCCTCAACCCAAGTCTACATCCGTAATAACACAATAGTAAAAACCCATTTTACTCTTCTGAAAATGCACATGATCATGTTGAACAGGTCTACATCATAGGGCAAATTGTATCCTGTCTGAGCGCACCTGGAGGGACCTACTAAGGATCATCTAGCCAACAGGCCACAGAAGAACAAGATGGTGGAG